GTATACTCTAGGAGCAGCCTCAGCAAATACATACATACATATATAACTATGATTAATCCAAATATCGGGATGTTTTGAATTAAAATCTTAAACTGTGTTATATTCAAACTCTATCAAGGTATGTACCTATTAGCTTTAACTCACCGTTTAAATCCTTCGTCAACTGGGAACGCGTCGACATTTTACCCAATTTGTGCAGAATTTTTGCGGCGAAAGTCAAGTGGAGCGCAACTGGAGCGCAGCAATGCACGCCAGCAAAACAGGATTTACCGGATACTTAAAGAGTAGGCAGTGGTGGTGCAGCAGCGCGAGAAGGGCTTGTCGTTGTTGCCAATCAGGCTAGTGGCCTTCTGCGCCCTACCACCAACACGTCCGGGCTTTGTTGCCTTCGAAGTGAATGCTTTTGGTTGATAGTCGCCTTCTTCTTTCTTTTTTCGCACAACTAACTAGCGTTTCTTAATTTTTGTTAAACTGGACGAACGCGTCTGTGGCGGAAACCGGATTTGTAAGTTAAATTCCTTGATTATTTTAATTTTGGTTTAATACAGATTTTATACCACTTTCTTCCGCTTCACTCACCCATACAAGTCACGAACTTTATTATAAAACATTTCGCGTTTAATTACTTTCTAAATATAACTTAATTCACAAGTAAATAATAAACTCCAATATTTGGGAATTTCAGCTTCTTTCAAGCCACTTTGTATGCGTTTTGCACTTTTCTTCACTTTCGCACAAAAAACTCAATCAACGAACTTTAAAACAACAAACACACTCAACCATAGAGAAAAGTGGAGATGTGAAAATTCACCCTCTGGGTTTGGTAAATTTCCTGTTCAGCACTTCTAGCTTGTATTTCGGAACTTTTCACATACAAACTAAACAATTTTTGCCACCGAAGCCTGTTTTGCGTTGCATTCGTTGCAATTTCATTCAAGATTATCACTTTAATTAATCAAAAACTTTCCACTTTTATCACTTATTTCCCGTATTATCAAAAATCGCAACCGACCGGAGATGGTGATGAAAACAGAATACTTGTCGAAAACCAGCGCAAACACAACTTGGCTCATCTCCATGATTCAATTTTTTACCTGTCAGTTGTCTCGCTCACACGACTCTCAGCACCGAAACGTGTTGCCTCTTTGCAAATATACTTGATAAATTTTAGTTTTCGTGTAAAATAGTAGTATTCGTTTTGTGCAATATATATGTACATTCAAAACACTTTTAACTGATTACAATATAAAAAATCTCAAATTATGATATTTACATAAAACTCTTTAAAGTTATATTTTAATTTTGTGACCTTTTACAGTTTTTATACCTGTAAATAGGACATAAAATATAAACAGTATGAAACAATCAAACCGATAACTTTTCAGTGTCCATTCTAGTTTTATCGATTACTTTTACAAAGACCGTGAGAAATGTCAAATAAAGGAGAACACCAAAATAAAAGTTAGCGAGAAAAAGTGGTCCAAGGCGTATTCATGCAAGGTGGTGTTGCCAAATAAGTTGAGATTTTCGACATGGTGGTTCTGAATGTCAAAATGATTGAATTGTCATATTTCATTCGACAGTTCGATCTGATTGGCTTGGTAAAATTTTGAAAATGATATGTTAAGACAGCAAGTTGCCCGCATGAGAAAACGGGACAAAGCTAAAAGAGAAATTTGACAGCTGTTAAGACACATTTAGCAGAAGGTGGAGACGTGGGGTTATATACACATCAGCTGCTTCTTTTCTACTCGGTTTTATTATACTCGGGTAAATTCATCCTACATGCATAAACACCTTTTTTAGTCGAGCTAGCAAGCTTTCACGTGTTGAATATGTACATTTTTTCTACACCGGTTGAAATCTTAACATGGGTTGAATTTTGTACATAGAAAGGTGTTCACATGAGGCGATTTTACACGCAACTTTTAGTTGGAAGCACCAATCGCCTGGTGTGAACGGCCTTTCAATTAATCGCTCCCAAGTTGCCTCTAAAGTTGCCTGTAAATCGCCTCATGGAAACATCGTATAACTCGAGTTGAAAATTGACCGTGTATGGTTATTGGATCTACCCAAGTTGGATATAACCGATTAGAAAGGAATCGTAAGCATAATAAGCGTTTCTTTAGCTATTTTAGTTATTTTGTTACTAAATTTTTTTCTTTCTAGCAGAAGACGTCAAAATTATAGTCTGCATACGTTAAATCACTGTCCAATTTACCGTCTTTAAAATAATCAAGGCAGTGATTGAGACAATTGAAAAAGTTTGCATGAATTAGTCAAAATATGTGCATGTCATGACAGTATTTTCCCTACAGTATAAGCCCTAAATTAATTGCAAATCAAACAATTTTCATAAACTTTCATTAAATTTATCTACAAATAAAACTGAAAACTCATTTTGAAAACAAGTACCTATATCGATAACTTCTGTTTTTAATTAACACTGACATAAATGCAGTCCGGCAACACTCTGGGAAACTGTTGAAAAAGCGCATTTGGAGAGAACCGAGTGCAGTGTTTTGCGAGCAGTTTTATAGTAAATTACAAAAAATGGTTAATTTAAGTGTAATAAATAGAACGATGCGATTGCAAAAGATGTTGCTGCCTTTAAGTAAGTAATTAAATATCCTAAGCACAGCAGCGTAATGTCGATTAACATATTTAAGTGTGAAATTAAACGATTTTCTGCTCGTGCTTTGGTAAAAAATTTCACAACATTGACATAACGTGCAATGCATAACGTGCTGTCAAATTCCTCTGAGAACAGTTCTTATGCGCTCAGCTGAGCAGAACAATTGAATTCTTGTTGCGTTTATTAACTACATATAAAAATAAAAACAAAAAGAATAAATCTAAATTTCTGTCAAATAAATTCTTTGTTTTAAACGGAAAACTTTTCTATAAGGGACATTTTCAATTTCAAACTGAATACTGGAACAAGTGTGAAGATATCTACAGCAACTACTACATCAAACGAGGGGGAACAGTTATGAAGCATATGGAGCTTCCGCAGTTGGCTCACGACTTACCGGCACTGGGATCGTGTACACTAAATTTGGTCGACCTTATAAGACAACTAATCAATGAAAAAAAATATGAAGGTGTTGCTTTGTTATTTACAAGCAAAAGTGATGCAGAGCGCAATAGGATGTGCCTTGAGACAGTGGGAATGGAGTTATATCATGCCATTTGCTTACCTAATCTTACTTCCGAAATACACGATAGTCAACTGCCTTTATACACATGTGCTGAGGAGTTATTATATTTAATAGCATCCCATGCACCCATGGAAGAGTTGTTGCTCGAACTGCTTGAGATTATTGAGGAAAACGATTCCGAATATGTATTCACCTCAGCACTACGTGCACTGCAAACGGTGTTACTTCGTATGGGTAACAAGAAACCACGCGCTCTCGAATGGAGCTTGAACTCTATACATACCCGGCTAGAAAAATTGCCACTACCAACGTTTCTAAAAGAAGGCTATGATAGCAAGCAAGAGCGTCTACTGGAACAAAATGCACAGATTGAAAAGTTGTTAATGTTTTACATTACTGTAGAACTATTCTACGGCCCACTACTTAGAGACGAGTTGTCCCAACTGCGACCACCTGATCAGGTGTTTTTTGATACAGGCATGAATAGACGAAATGTCATGTGCTGCTTTTTAATACATATGCTTGGAAAACCACTTGCGTTGCTAGATTTAACTATTGATGAACGTAAGACTAATAGCTTTACCGCACAGTGCGCACGAAAACTGACCGAAGGTGCAACACGCTGTTTGGTGGATCCTCTCCGTCTACTGTCCGTGGGTGAGCACCGTATTCGTTGGAATCGACGCTTGAATGCCGATAAGGGTGTCCATGAAATGAGCTCTAACAACATATTTCTAATTGAGGAAAAATTGCCCCTAGAGTCACTAGCAATTTACTTCTACATGATCTTGGTAGAAGAGATCAGTTTTTCTTCTGTGCCTAAAGTATATTCACCAGTATACATATTCGAAGCCGGTCTCTACTATGCAAACGAGTTATTGGCACATGAAGAGTCGGCACTACACTATCGTGCACTTTTGTTGGTGAAACGTTTATTAGATAATCTGTTCGAAACAGATATTTCTGCAGTTTCTTTGGAATTGGAGGTACATAAAAATTTTTGCATCTCTCTATGCAATATCATTGGATATTCATCACAAAATCAGCTTAGGCAAACCGGTGTTAAAGTGCTGCGCCAGTATATTTTAAAATTTGACGATGAAGGCAAATATTTGGTACTAAAAAATTTGCTTCGAACCGTGGCGCACAATGGCATATCTGGCTACTTGGCGATCATGTATAAAGACGTTGTTTCTAATGCTTTAATTACAACGGCCACCGAGCTCCCAACCTCTTTCTCTGGGCACGATTTTCGTACTATTTTTCTACAATACATTTGTCGGTTGCCACATGGTGCAAAAACTGATCTTATTGATCATTCTGACAAAGTGATTTCCTCGCTCAATGCTTTACGATTCTTCGCCCTAAAGGATCAGCAAAATCGTACTGGTCTCTGGGACTTTATGTCCGAAATAGAACAGCAGTTTCTCGAGCCGCTGCGTAAAGGTTTAGACATATCTGTAGCACATTATAAAGCGGAATTGAAACGAGTAGAAAATGGTTTGGGTGCTGAAGCAGAAGCAGAAGAGCGTAAAACTTTGGAATTAATAGATATAAATATAGCGAATGCAACATCGGAGAGTGGAAATGTCGATTTGGAAGTTGGTCGTTTACGTAAAATTGAAATACTCAATCAGAACCTGTGCACATTTGATCTGATGCGAAGTATCCTGGGACGCACTGAAGAGTGTGTAGAGAATACGAGCAGATTGTGCAAAGTGCTGCAATAAAAATAAGTTATTTTGAAACTTTTTATTTATTATTAAAATAAATTAAAAATAAAATGACACCACTTTTACACTTAACTTTCGTGTTTTTACCAAAATGAAAAAGGTAGTTACTAACACAATTTAGATTTTAGATTTTAGATACATTTAGACAGCGAAGTTAAAAAAGGATTTGTTTCTTTAAAGGCGCCAATAGCACTTCAAGAAGAAGTTTTTAAATTTAAAATCAACAACTACTGTTTTAAATTTATTTATTCACGGATTCTTTTTTACTGCAGGTGCTCACAGCTCTTTACTAGCTTGCAGCGCACATGCTTCCCGAGTTCTTATGCAGCGATATCGTGCCCATTCAGACTTCAGTCAAAATAATTCATTAATCTGTACACACCTCCCTAACTCAAACTCAACACCATTACAGCATTACCCAAATTGCACATATTTCAAGTCAACATACACAACAGATGCCGGTAGCTCGGAGTCCATTGAAAAGTTCCGTGAGCGCGAGGAACAGCGTGAACGTGAATTTGAGCAGAAAAAGGCAGATGAAGAGAAAAAAGCTGAAGATGAGGCTAAAAGTGCAAAAATTGATGCTATACGCACACAAATTTTAGAGGCTGCATTGTCACATGTGCCCACACTGGGTTGGACACGTAATGCAATTGTGAAGGGCGCTGAGGAAGCTGGCTTTCCCAGCGTTGTGCATGGCATGTTTCCTGAAGGTGGTTATGCGCTCGTTTCCTACTTCTATGGAAAGTGCAACGATGAAGTTGTGCGACGTTTGCAGGAGGACACACACAATGGCACTCTGGCAGTTGGCGATCCTTTGGACTTTTTAGTCCGTGCGGTGCGAACACGACTTGAAATGATAATCCCTTACAAGGCGCAATGGCCACAGGCTTTGGCACTGATAGCGATGCCACAAAATGCTGCCACATCGTTGGCTCAGGTCTTGACCCTGGTCGATGA